ACAATTACGATAATTGGAACTCACACAACTATTTAACACAAACATATGTACAATCACTAGATCAAATGTTGTGGATTCTGGCATGAAAAGCTACCCTTGAGGAACTGTAGGACTTACAGCAGTACGCCTACATTCCTTTCCAGGTTGATGATCCAAGTGGAAGTCGTCCGGACACAAACAGAATTACCAACAGCTAGATGATAAATGATACCAATTCAGTATATACAATATAAACATATGTACAAAATCACACACCAAGCACATTGGACTGCTCATTGATGCGCTACCCTTTGAAGAACTGTAGGACTTACAGCAGTACGCCTACAACCCTACTCAGGTTGACGCTCTAGGTTGGAAAATCGTCGCAGAGTTCATTTGCAAACTTCCTTCTATGAGCTATATCCTCAAATCTGAACGGCAACACGCCCATGTCATTGTATCGTAGAATATATGTGGAGTCCTCAAAAATAAACTTATCCAAATTTTACTACTATGTAAATAATGAACATATTGTACACCACTTTGTTTTAACCAGAAACTCTGTACTTTGACTTTACCTCGGGTTTTGAATAAATATACAGCTGTGCCTTCGACTCTCCGTCTTCTCCACCATCTCAACTGCCGTCGATCAATCCTAATCACCTGCTTTCTATCTCTGATTTTTGCAGGAGCACCGTAGTTTCTTCCTACGTACTTTGGTCGACCTCCGGCAACGTTAACATTGGAGAATTACTACTGGAGCAGTCTTTCCGCAGCACCTGGAGTCTATTACGTTTATTGTGGACTGTGGACCTTTGTAAACTCAAGTAATCAAACTTTAATACATTCTTCCCGTAACTAAACTCATTTGGTATTTTATTTTCTACTTGAATTTGGGTAACTAAGCTAATAGAGTGAAAAGGTCCACCACAATAATTGGTGAGCCCGTTTCGAACCCTTTTTTATGGTTAACCCGTTTTCGAACCTTTTTGTTTCGATAGTTACCTCGTTTTGAACATTTTTGTTGCTATTTTGTCCTTATAAACTCGCACTGCTTTAATTTTTGTTACCACAAGTTTTTCTATTTTGTATATCTATATACTTACATATTATATGACAATGGCTCCACCTAAACGTACCACTGTTGCTGAAGAAGGTAATAAAGGCGAAGAGACACAGAACTCTGCTGTTAACGCCTTGCCGGATTTAAGACTCCCTCAATTTGATCTGGCTGAACCACGTGTCTGGTTCACAATCATTGAACAGTTGTTTGCAGCTCGAGGTATTACGTCGCAGATCGCCATGTATGGTTGCGTATTAGCAGCAATTCCCACGGAAGTACTACGAGAGGTTATCGATGTCATAGACAGCAAACCTACAGACTCTCAATATGACAAACTAAAAGCTGCACTCATCCAGCGGACCACTCTCTCCGATGAGAAACGCATACAACAACTACTTACTTCGTGTGATCTAGGTACAAAAAAGCCATCTCAACTACTTAGACATATGCGCCAGTTGATTGGGTCACACAAAGTAGATGAGTTAATTCTACGTCAGATGTTCTTACAACGTTTACCACAAAATGTTCAACAAATCCTAACAATATCTTCTAGGACGACAGACCTTGAAGAATTAGCTAAAATGGCAGACGATATCATGGATGTGTTATCAAATAATGGCATAAATAGCGTGTCTACCGAGGCAGTACCACCAAGCCCTTCCACATCTATGAAGGACGCACCAATGTTTTGGTTACTTTCCCAGTTAACATCTCAAATGCAAGATTTACGACTGGAAGTGTCCGAGCTTCGAGCACAAAGGAACCAGTCACATACGGTATCCAAGCAACGGCGATCAAGATCTAGACGACGTTCTAGAACACCGTCTCAAAGCCGTAACATTTGTTGGTATCATAGGAGGTATGGGCATAATGCCCTGAAGTGTATTCGACCGTGTATGTACAACAGTAGTAACTCATCTCAGGGAAACTCCCCAGCCAGACAGTAATGGCGACGGCTGTTAATGGCAATCACCCCAGTCGCCTTTTCTATGTGAGGGATTTGACTACCGGCACATTATTCTTGGTAGATACAGGCGCCGAGGTCAGTGTTATTCCCCCCTCACTATCCAGGCGATCAGCCAAAATACCTGGAAAACTTTCACTTCGTGCTGCCAACCAAACCAACATACAGACGTATGGCGAACAGTCAATGATTTTAAATTTAGGACTACGCCGACGTTTCACATGGATCTTCATAGTAGCTGACGTACGTCACGCTATACTAGGTGCAGACTTCCTAAGTCACTTCAATCTGTTAGTTGATATCAGCAAGAAAAAACTGGTTGACAATTGCACCCAACTCAAGATCCATGGTATTACATGTGACTACTCGGTTCATAGCATCTGTATAGAAAAGCCGGAGAGTGAAATGTTCTCTGCTTTATTGAAACGATTTCCTAAAATCCTTAAACCATCATACAACGTTGAAGATATATCTCATACAGTTACGCATAAGATCATCACAACAGGACAACCTGTGAAGGCACGTCCACGACGGTTACCACCCGATAAACTAGCAGCAGCTAAGTCGGAATTTGAACATATGATGCAGTTAGGTATCATACGACCATCTAACAGCCCATGGTCTTCACCTCTGCACATGGTACCTAAAACTAATCATGACTGGCGACCATGTGGAGATTATCGCGCTTTGAATAACGCTACGGTCCCAGATCGTTATCCTATACCTCATCTCCACGACTTCTCCTTGACCTTACATGGAAAGACCGTTTTTACCAAAGTTGACTTGGTCAGGGCATATCATCAAATACCAGTCGCTCCAGAAGACATTGCAAAAACAGCAATTATTACGCCTTTTGGATTATTCGAATTCTTGAGAATGCCTTTCGGACTAAAGAATGCTGCTCAAACATTTCAGCGTTTTATGGACCAAGTTACCCAAGGTCTTGATTTCGTCTTTGTATATATCGACGATGTCTTAATTGCCAGCTCATCGATGGAAGAACATATGCAACACTTAAGCCTGTTATTTCAAAGGTTTGAACAATTTGGAGTTGTTATCAATCCAAAGAAATGTATTTTTGGTTCCCCTTCCATTGAATTCTTAGGACATCGAATAACTGCTGAAGGCATCAGACCTACCGAAGATAAGATAGAAACTATTAAGAACTTTCCCGAACCTGATTCCTTAAAGAAACTTAGACGTTTTCTCGGGATGTTCAACTTCTACCGACGTTTTATTCCATCATGTGCCTCCATAGTTCAGCCACTGACCGACCTACTTAGATGCAATTCGAAGAAATTTCAGTGGTCTGAAGAAGCAAAAGCAGCATTTAATAATGCAAAAGATGCCTTATCCAACGTTGTAATGTTATCTCATATCAACCCAGAAGCTTCACTCATTTTATGTACAGATGCATCGCAGGTAGCAGTGGGAGCAGTTTTACAACAAAAGTTCAATAATGACACCACTCCACTTGCTTTCTTCTCCAAGAAGTTGGAACCTGCGCAAACTCGTTACAGTACCTTTGGCAGAGAACTGTTAGCCATCTACCTAGCAGTGAAACATTTCAGCTTCTTACTACAAGGTCGACATTTTACTATCTTAACCGACCATAAGCCTCTTTGTTATGCTTTCACCACTTCGTTGGACAGACACTCTCCGAGAGAAGCCAGACAACTGGATTACATCTCACAATTCTCAACAGACATCCAGTTCATCAAAGGAGATTCTAATATCGTAGCCGATTCTTTGTCTCGATGTGACGTTAATCACCTATCTTCGATAGATATTAGCTTAGACAATATTGCCAAGCTGCAGAAAAATGACGCCGAACTCCATACTTGTAGACGAAACTCCTCCCTACAGTTGCAGGATGTACCTATTCCCCTGTCTGATACAACTATCGTCTGCGACGTTTCAACGGGAGTTCATAGACCTTTTGTTCCACTAAGTTGTCGAAAAACTTTGTTTGAACATCTACATTCATTGTCTCATCCTGGAGTGCGTGCTACAGTCAAGTTGATCAGCGAGCGTTTTGTTTGGCCCAAGATGAACTCCGATATTCGGAAATGGGCCCGCCAATGCTTGCAATGTCAAAGATCCAAGGTACATCATCACACCGTCACACCTCCAAAACAGTTCAATTTACCCGATAAACGATTTCAACACGTTCATATAGATGTTGTTGGACCATTACCGCCATCCAGAGGATTTACTCATATACTTACTGCGATTGATCGATTTACCCGATGGGCTATTGCTTGTCCACTCAACGATATATCTGCAGAAAATATCGCTTTGGTTTTCTTAGATCGCTGGGTGTCAAACTATGGAGTACCCACAACTATTACAACAGATCGAGGAGCTCAATTTCAATCAACTCTGTTTCGAGAGTTTACGAGACTCCTTGGAGTGAACCATATCTCCACTACAGCTTATCATCCTGCAGCGAATGGTCTGGTGGAACGTTTCCATCGACAACTGAAAAGCTCGCTTATGGCACAAGCTGACTCATCTAAGTGGAGTGAACACCTACCATTAGTTCTTCTCAGTATCCGATCAACTGTAAAAGAAGATTTGGGATGTACACCAGCTCAACTTGTGTATGGTACTACCCTCACATTGCCTGGTCAGTTAGTTCCGTCTAATGATTCAACTGAAGTAAATATCTCCGACTTCACCAACCGCCTTACCCAGCATATGCTTCAGCTTAGACCAGTAGCCCCTCGCCAATCACTTCAGAAAGCTCAAGTAAATAAGAACCTACTCACTAGCAAATTTGTATTTGTTCGCGTCGATGCCATTAGAAAAGGTCTACAACATCCATATGAAGGTCCTTTTCTAGTACTTAAACGCACCGAAAAATACTTCACGCTGAACAAACATGGTAAACCGGAGACTGTTTCTATCGACCGTCTTAAACCAGCGTACACCGACAGCGAACATGAAACACTAGCAACGCCGACACCAATAAACAATCAGCAAGTCAATGCAACTCCAACTCTCCCGCTCTTCACTCTTCCCCCTGTACAGACACGCAGTGGGCGGCAGATCTGTAAACCTGCCCGCTATGTTCATTTCATTGACTGACATAAACGTTAACCTCATTTAGACATACTTCTCATTACTATTGTTGTTAACATTCACTTCATTATAACCATTAATATTTATTAGTATTATTATTTGCTGTTCGTCAACTGTACTGCAAGCACACGCATTCACCAAGTATATGTATATATCTATTTATATATGAATTTCACAAATGTTAACGAACATGTCATGGTTTATTATGTACATAAATTTTTATTTAAAATTATAACAAGTTTTGATTTTTTTTAAATTCCTGTATGTGCTTGTATGTGCTAAACTTTATACGACACGGATGCATTCCATACATCCTGATCTAACTTTGTATCCTTATTGTTGTTATTGTTATTTTTTTGTTATCCTTATTGTTGACATTGTCCCTTATTTATATTGCTTATATTCATGTAATCGTCCACGAGGACAGTACTGATGGTCCTCCGGACCTCTAAGAGGGGGAGCCCTGTGGAGTCCTCAAAAATAAACTTATCCAAATTTTACTACTATGTAAATAATGAACATATTGTACACCACTTTGTTTTAACCAGAAACTCTGTACTTTGACTTTACCTCGGGTTTTGAATAAATATACAGCTGTGCCTTCGACTCTCCGTCTTCTCCACCATCTCAACTGCCGTCGATCAATCCTAATCACCTGCTTTCTATCTCTGATTTTTGCAGGAGCACCGTAGTTTCTTCCTACGTACTTTGGTCGACCTCCGGCAACGTTAACATTGGAGAATTACTACTGGAGCAGTCTTTCCGCAGCACCTGGAGTCTATTACGTTTATTGTGGACTGTGGACCTTTGTAAACTCAAGTAATCAAACTTTAATACATTCTTCCCGTAACTAAACTCATTTGGTATTTTATTTTCTACTTGAATTTGGGTAACTAAGCTAATAGAGTGAAAAGGTCCACCACAATAATTGGTGAGCCCGTTTCGAACCCTTTTTTATGGTTAACCCGTTTTCGAACCTTTTTGTTTCGATAGTTACCTCGTTTTGAACATTTTTGTTGCTATTTTGTCCTTATAAACTCGCACTGCTTTAATTTTTGTTACCACAAGTTTTTCTATTTTGTATATCTATATACTTACATATTATATGACAATGGCTCCACCTAAACGTACCACTGTTGCTGAAGAAGGTAATAAAGGCGAAGAGACACAGAACTCTGCTGTTAACGCCTTGCCGGATTTAAGACTCCCTCAATTTGATCTGGCTGAACCACGTGTCTGGTTCACAATCATTGAACAGTTGTTTGCAGCTCGAGGTATTACGTCGCAGATCGCCATGTATGGTTGCGTATTAGCAGCAATTCCCACGGAAGTACTACGAGAGGTTATCGATGTCATAGACAGCAAACCTACAGACTCTCAATATGACAAACTAAAAGCTGCACTCATCCAGCGGACCACTCTCTCCGATGAGAAACGCATACAACAACTACTTACTTCGTGTGATCTAGGTACAAAAAAGCCATCTCAACTACTTAGACATATGCGCCAGTTGATTGGGTCACACAAAGTAGATGAGTTAATTCTACGTCAGATGTTCTTACAACGTTTACCACAAAATGTTCAACAAATCCTAACAATATCTTCTAGGACGACAGACCTTGAAGAATTAGCTAAAATGGCAGACGATATCATGGATGTGTTATCAAATAATGGCATAAATAGCGTGTCTACCGAGGCAGTACCACCAAGCCCTTCCACATCTATGAAGGACGCACCAATGTTTTGGTTACTTTCCCAGTTAACATCTCAAATGCAAGATTTACGACTGGAAGTGTCCGAGCTTCGAGCACAAAGGAACCAGTCACATACGGTATCCAAGCAACGGCGATCAAGATCTAGACGACGTTCTAGAACACCGTCTCAAAGCCGTAACATTTGTTGGTATCATAGGAGGTATGGGCATAATGCCCTGAAGTGTATTCGACCGTGTATGTACAACAGTAGTAACTCATCTCAGGGAAACTCCCCAGCCAGACAGTAATGGCGACGGCTGTTAATGGCAATCACCCCAGTCGCCTTTTCTATGTGAGGGATTTGACTACCGGCACATTATTCTTGGTAGATACAGGCGCCGAGGTCAGTGTTATTCCCCCCTCACTATCCAGGCGATCAGCCAAAATACCTGGAAAACTTTCACTTCGTGCTGCCAACCAAACCAACATACAGACGTATGGCGAACAGTCAATGATTTTAAACTTAGGACTACGCCGACGTTTCACATGGATCTTCATAGTAGCTGACGTACGTCACGCTATACTAGGTGCAGACTTCCTAAGTCACTTCAATCTGTTAGTTGATATCAGCAAGAAAAAACTGGTTGACAATTGCACCCAACTCAAGATCCATGGTATTACATGTGACTACTCGGTTCATAGCATCTGTATAGAAAAGCCGGAGAGTGAAATGTTCTCTGCTTTATTGAAACGATTTCCTAAAATCCTTAAACCATCATACAACGTTGAAGATATATCTCATACAGTTACGCATAAGATCATCACAACAGGACAACCTGTGAAGGCACGTCCACGACGGTTACCACCCGATAAACTAGCAGCAGCTAAGTCGGAATTTGAACATATGATGCAGTTAGGTATCATACGACCATCTAACAGCCCATGGTCTTCACCTCTGCACATGGTACCTAAAACTAATCATGACTGGCGACCATGTGGAGATTATCGCGCTTTGAATAACGCTACGGTCCCAGATCGTTATCCTATACCTCATCTCCACGACTTCTCCTTGACCTTACATGGAAAGACCGTTTTTACCAAAGTTGACTTGGTCAGGGCATATCATCAAATACCAGTCGCTCCAGAAGACATTGCAAAAACAGCAATTATTACGCCTTTTGGATTATTCGAATTCTTGAGAATGCCTTTCGGACTAAAGAATGCTGCTCAAACATTTCAGCGTTTTATGGACCAAGTTACCCAAGGTCTTGATTTCGTCTTTGTATATATCGACGATGTCTTAATTGCCAGCTCATCGATGGAAGAACATATGCAACACTTAAGCCTGTTATTTCAAAGGTTTGAACAATTTGGAGTTGTTATCAATCCAAAGAAATGTATTTTTGGTTCCCCTTCCATTGAATTCTTAGGACATCGAATAACTGCCGAAGGCATCAGACCTACCGAAGATAAGATAGAAACTATTAAGAACTTTCCCGAACCTGATTCCTTAAAGAAACTTAGACGTTTTCTCGGGATGTTCAACTTCTACCGACGTTTTATTCCATCATGTGCCTCCATAGTTCAGCCACTGACCGACCTACTTAGATGCAATTCGAAGAAATTTCAGTGGTCTGAAGAAGCAAAAGCAGCATTTAATAATGCAAAAGATGCCTTATCCAACGTTGTAATGTTATCTCATATCAACCCAGAAGCTTCACTCATTTTATGTACAGATGCATCGCAGGTAGCAGTGGGAGCAGTTTTACAACAAAAGTTCAATAATGACACCACTCCACTTGCTTTCTTCTCCAAGAAGTTGGAACCTGCGCAAACTCGTTACAGTACCTTTGGCAGAGAACTGTTAGCCATCTACCTAGCAGTGAAACATTTCAGCTTCTTACTACAAGGTCGACATTTTACTATCTTAACCGACCATAAGCCTCTTTGTTATGCTTTCACCACTTCGTTGGACAGACACTCTCCGAGAGAAGCCAGACAACTGGATTACATCTCACAATTCTCAACAGACATCCAGTTCATCAAAGGAGATTCTAATATCGTAGCCGATTCTTTGTCTCGATGTGACGTTAATCACCTATCTTCGATAGATATTAGCTTAGACAATATTGCCAAGCTGCAGAAAAATGACGCCGAACTCCATACTTGTAGACGAAACTCCTCCCTACAGTTGCAGGATGTACCTATTCCCCTGTCTGATACAACTATCGTCTGCGACGTTTCAACGGGAGTTCATAGACCTTTTGTTCCACTAAGTTGTCGAAAAACTTTGTTTGAACATCTACATTCATTGTCTCATCCTGGAGTGCGTGCTACAGTCAAGTTGATCAGCGAGCGTTTTGTTTGGCCCAAGATGAACTCCGATATTCGGAAATGGGCCCGCCAATGCTTGCAATGTCAAAGATCCAAGGTACATCATCACACCGTCACACCTCCAAAACAGTTCAATTTACCCGATAAACGATTTCAACACGTTCATATAGATGTTGTTGGACCATTACCGCCATCCAGAGGATTTACTCATATACTTACTGCGATTGATCGATTTACCCGATGGGCTATTGCTTGTCCACTCAACGATATATCTGCAGAAAATATCGCTTTGGTTTTCTTAGATCGCTGGGTGTCAAACTATGGAGTACCCACAACTATTACAACAGATCGAGGAGCTCAATTTCAATCAACTCTGTTTCGAGAGTTTACGAGACTCCTTGGAGTGAACCATATCTCCACTACAGCTTATCATCCTGCAGCGAATGGTCTGGTGGAACGTTTCCATCGACAACTGAAAAGCTCGCTTATGGCACAAGCTGACTCATCTAAGTGGAGTGAACACCTACCATTAGTTCTTCTCAGTATCCGATCAACTGTAAAAGAAGATTTGGGATGTACACCAGCTCAACTTGTGTATGGTACTACCCTCACATTGCCTGGTCAGTTAGTTCCGTCTAATGATTCAACTGAAGTAAATATCTCCGACTTCACCAACCGCCTTACCCAGCATATGCTTCAGCTTAGACCAGTAGCCCCTCGCCAATCACTTCAGAAAGCTCAAGTAAATAAGAACCTACTCACTAGCAAATTTGTATTTGTTCGCGTCGATGCCATTAGAAAAGGTCTACAACATCCATATGAAGGTCCTTTTCTAGTACTTAAACGCACCGAAAAATACTTCACGCTGAACAAACATGGTAAACCGGAGACTGTTTCTATCGACCGTCTTAAACCAGCGTACACCGACAGCGAACATGAAACACTAGCAACGCCGACACCAATAAACAATCAGCAAGTCAATGCAACTCCAACTCTCCCGCTCTTCACTCTTCCCCCTGTACAGACACGCAGTGGGCGGCAGATCTGTAAACCTGCCCGCTATGTTCATTTTATTGACTGACATAAACGTTAACCTCATTTAGACATACTTCTCATTACTATTGTTGTTAACATTCACTTCATTATAACCATTAATATTTATTAGTATTATTATTTGCTGTTCGTCAACTGTACTGCAAGCACACGCATTCACCAAGTATATGTATATATCTATTTATATATGAATTTCACAAATGTTAACGAACATGTCATGGTTTATTATGTACATAAATTTTTTATTTAAAATTACAACAAGTTTTGATTTTTTTTAAATTCCTGTATGTGCTTGTATGTGCTAAACTTTATACGACACGGATGCATTCCATACATCCTGATCTAACTTTGTATCCTTATTGTTGTTATTGTTATTTTTTTGTTCTTATTGTTGACATTATCCCTTATTTATATTGCTTATATTCATGTAATCGTCCACGAGGACAGTACTGATGGTCCTCCGGACCTCTAAGAGGGGGAGCCCTGTGGAGTCCTCAAAAATAAACTTATCCAAATTTTACTACTATGTAAATAATGAACATATTGTACACCACTTTGTTTTAACCAGAAACTCTGTACTTTGAACTTTACCTCGGGTTTTGAATAAATATATAGTTCTGCCTTCGACTCTCCGTCTTCTCCACCATCTCAACTGCCGTCGATCAATCCTAATCACCTGCTTTCTATCTCTGATTTTTGCAGGAGCACCGTAGTTTCTTCCTACGTACTTTGGTCGACCTCCGGCAACGTTAACATTGGAGAATTACTACTGGAGCAGTCTTTCCGCAGCACCTGGAGTCTATAACGTTTATTGTGGACTTTGGATCTTTGTAAACCCAAGTAATCAAACTTTAATACATTCTTCCCGTAACTAAATTCATTTGGTACTTTATTTTCTATTTGAATTTGGGTAACTAAGCTAATAGAGTAAAAGTTCCACCACATATAGATGACCAACAAACACACGACATATCTCATCAACCAAGTGTAGAAACAGAGTAATTTACACCAAAGATAATAACATTCAATTAGTAACTTGAAACTAGAAATGCCTTGGTTCATGCAAGTCAATTTAACAATTACTCTCTCGTTTACACTTGGCTTATTCTCACTAAACTGAGCAATATCTTTCGTCTTTTCAAACGCACCAATACTATCATAGTCATTGCATAAGGCACGTGAGTTCATGGACGTCCATTTCATTGTGGATGAAAACACCAACGATGACTGAGTGACACAAGGTGATGAACTTAGCTGTGGATCAGAAGCTGTTCTTTTTCGGCTTTCAGATAGTTGTCTAACTGCAAGATTACCACCACTGCTGTCTTTCACTACTAGTTCGGGTTTAGCACTATCATCTGATGATAGGTGGGCTACACGCTGATCAATTACACTGACGGTCTCACAAGTATGCACATCTTCTGGAACTGCATCTGCGTTCAATTCTACTTCACGTTGTAGTTGTACAGAACCTTTATTTAACTTAGCAGTAGTAGGCATATCCCTCATCTCATCATGATCAACCAAAGACAAATCTGCACTATCATGATCATTATCACAAATATTCAATTTACCGTCAAGTTCATCATTTTCAAACTCTTTAATAACAGAAGTAGACAATTTTGGTTCCTCCTCACAAATAATTAAAGGTTTTATATCTTCACTCTGACTAGTTATACTTTGTAAACTTTTGGAGTCAGAACTGGACTCTGAAGCAGTAACTCTATTCTGTGACACTCTATTCAACAACGGCTTACCAGTTGCAGCTACAGACTTCTTCACCGCACCCTTATCGTCACACAATTCGGAGTCAGGCCTGGAGTTTACATTTAGCTTATCACTGAACTTGGTCACTGGTTCACAGTTCACCTCAGTATGCACCTCTTGCAAACGTGTAAAACACAACCGTGTTTGTCTTGCATCTTGTAACTTATCTGTTGAGGATGTACTACGAAACCTGTTACACTCACTAGGTCTATATGCATTACTAGACATCATGGAGCCTTCTCGATATCCACCTCTCTGAGGCCTATTCGTCATCAATGATTGCATTTTGCTCTCAGACTGCTCTATTCTAGGGGTGAGATGTAATAGACTGGCAAACTTGCTCATAGATTGATTGACGCTATCTTTTACCAGTTTCAGGATATCATCAAACCTTGGCTCGATACCCTCATCCTCCATACGGGAGCTTATCTTCACCCACTTCCTTTGCAGTCAAGTAGGTAGGCGTCTTGCTATTACTTCTAGTATAAAACTCGAGTTGAGGTCACTCATGCAATTCGTCGAAATCAAGGTATTCTTATAAGTCAGAAGATTATCTAAAAACTCAGTAAGTGCCTTGGAGTCATCTTGAAGCTGACTGCCGTTACCTTTGACAGCTTCGTATACGTTCCTTACAATCATTGAAGGTCTTCCAAACCTTTGACGTAATATGCTCATAGCTTCAGCGTATCCCTCATTAGGGGGCATGAGCTCACAGCACTGTATAGCTCTTGCAGCATCTCCAGTGCAATACCTCATCAAATACATCAATTTCATTTCATCAGTTAATAAAAAACCACTCAGCATGATCTCAAACTCCTTTACAAATTGTAAATAATCAGCCGGGTTTCCATCAAAACATCGTGGTTCAAATTTAGGGAGTTTGATGTTCCTATTATCCCTGAACGGCGAAACAGTAACATCAACCATGTCATGCTTAACATCAGACACATCGTTACAATTAACAGACAAGTCACCATGACTTACTTTCCTGTTTGCATCCAAGACGCTCTGTCCCTTCTTTGACCCAGACATTGTTGAACTTGACCCAATTCCAAAAACGTTCCAGATATTGCTTGTTCAAAGAGGACTTGACCGGCACCAGGAAAGATGAATGGTGACTATCAAAACTTTCACCAACTGTCTGAATCCGCCAAAGTCTGTTTCTACCATCAGAAACTGTCAGTCACGTCTCATAAACCGTTAATGCCCAGCTCTTGCTACGCTCGGGCCCACGCTGTTCCTTGCAGTTTTTCAGAAACGCTTAGTAATAACGGACGAAAAAACCAAAAGACCGATTGGCCACTCGAGAATTCTTTATTGTTACACCAACATATAAAAATAATGTTTTTACTAGGACTGTGAACAAATATTACAATAATAAATCACAAGATTACTTCTGATGGTTTACTGCTGACTTCTTTCTGAACAGCGACCGATGAGACGAAGACTGTCGTATTGATGCCTCCGCGAAAATTGGGGAAGTTGATTTTGAGCAAACAACCAAGAATTGATCGTTCAATCTTCAACTCCATTGACATATGTCTTCCACTGACTCTAGTGATTTGGAGTTGGGATTCGTTAGTACTATTACTCTTACTGTACCAGACTTTAAACTCAGAGACCCGCATCTTTGTTCACTCTACTGGAACATTATTTCACTGCCAAAAACCTCTCGTCATAGAAATCTTAATTCGGCATTTTGAGTACTATACTACCGGATGAATTTGCTGAGCATGTATGCGAATACACCGTTCATTCCAACACTGAATCCCCCTACGATAAATTAAAAAAGCGGTATTACGATACACATACCTGTCCAATGGGCAGATACTAGAGAGCTTGCTAAGTAATGCGGAGTTAGATAATAAGACACTGTCCCAACTCTTGAAATACATGCGAAGCCCCGTGGCAGGCAACGAAATTGATGGACGCTTTTTTATAAAGTCTGGCTCTGACAACTGCCTGCCTTCGGAGATGACGACAATAATGTAAATAAACTCTTTGACATCGCCGATTGCGTTTATGAGAGGTCAACACCTCAAACCATCGCTTTCACGAACCAAATACTGCTCATTCTCGCTAAAGCACCTTTGATAGGAAGTTACTAGCAGTTTACTTGGCTATCAAACACTTTAGACCCATGCTGGAAGGTACGGCTTTTACTGCCTTTGCGGATCACAAAGCTTTCACGAAAGCCTTGTGAGCCAAGCAAGATAAACATTCGCCTCGTGAGCTACGACATCTTGAATTTATATTACAATTTACCTGAGACATTCGACTCGTAAAAGGTAGCGACAGTGAAGCTGCAGACGTTCTGTCACGTGTGCATATTGATAACATTGAATGTCCCGATATCGATTACGAGCATTTCGCAACCCTACAAAAGAATGGTGGCGAACTTAAGAAGATATGTCCTCCAAAACGGCATCCTAACAGTTCACCGAAGTCACCTTTGGCATAAAAGTAATCTGTGATACATCTACCATAGAATGTCAACCTTTTGTTCCAACGGCTATGAGACGCACAATTTTTGAGAAATTGCATAATCTCTCACATCTGGAAGTCAGTGCTAATGCCAAGCCGCCGAAGGAGAGAATTTTATAGCCAAACATAAACAGCGACTCTAAGAAGCGGATGAAGAATTGTTTGTCTTGTCAACGAGTCAAGATTCATAGTCATATCAATACTCCACTCGGTTATTTTCCCAACTCCGACTGAAGATTTGATCACTTGCATGTATATATTGTTGTTCCACTGGCTTCTCCCAATGGTTTCAGCTACATTTTTACTTGCATCGATAGATTCACTCGTTGATCAGTAGCGGCTCCACTAGCAGGCGTATCCTCCGAGAAAGTTGCTAAAGCTCTGGTGGAAGACCAGGTAGCAAACTTTGGTCTTCTGTCCATTATCACTACAGACAGAGGTGCACAGTTGGGGGGCTGTTTTTTCCAACAGCTCACCGAGTTACTGAGAACTACACGAGTCAAATGCATATACCATAACAATTTCGTATACTCATATTTCTCAAAGTAGACTCCTTACTGGGACTTATAGTGGGATTAGCAGTGACGCCAATTTGTTGAAAAAGGTTCTGGGGAGTATGATTAAGAATGTCATGGTGCTCTGTAATAGGCTACGCTAAAGTCAACGGAGAAAACCCAGTGTTTGCATATTACCTAGCACCAGAGTAGTGTCAGCCTGACTACCGTAATTAAATACAGGAAGATCCACTGCTACTTAAAGAAAAATATCCTACCGCGGTTACTGCAGAGATTCTTGTGAAAATCGTCTACCGCAAAGTGAAAAATAGATCATATTCCCACATTTTCGTTATGAGTTTATGCCTCCTAGAATAGAGTAGAAGACTGTAGCAGTAACATAGCAAATGATATACAAACCCGTCCTGAACAGTGTTTTTACAGTACCGATACTTATTTGGACTCTTCCCTTATTTTTATTCTGGTTGGGTCTTATTTCTGATGTCCTTCCTTTTGCTGTGCTCTTTCATCCGTTTGAAA